TACATACATACATACATACATACATACATACATACATATATATATATATATATATATATATATATATATATATTCTGAGGTTTTCGCGGGTGTTTGTATGTAGGTCTTTGGTTATTCGGGTTTTCTCCCGCGTAAAATTGGAGGTGTCTTGGCAACGTTTCGACGAAGTCTCATTCGTCATCTTCAGGCTGGTGTTCTCGGCTTCGTGCTTCTAGGAGCAATGTGTGTGATCGCAGCTGTTTCTTCCTTTTAACTGCCAGTGGGGGTGTGAACTGATTGGGTGGGAGCTTGGCTGTGTTCTGATTGGGTGGAGATGTGTTTTGATTGGTTGGGGGGTTGGCTGTGCTCTGATTGGATGGGGGGTTGGCTGTGCTCTGATTGGATGGGTGTGTGTTCTGTTTAGGTGGGGGCTTGGTTGTGCTCGGGTTAGTCTGAGTAGCAGGGGGATTTGAGCTGGTGAGCTGTGTTGCTGTTGTTTGGCTTCGTGTTCGTGGCCGTGCCATCTCTTCATGTTGGGTGTCAGTCTGCTTCATGTATGGATTGGAGGGGTTTAAAGTGGCTAATGATGCAGCTGTGGTCTGGCTTCTGGTCCATTGTCGTGCCTGATCATCAGTGTGGGTTTGAGTCTGCTTTCTGCGTGGATGTGTGGTGGTTACATCCTGTGTGGCTCTCGTGAGTGTGGGTCTGGTGTCATTCTTTGTGTTAGGGACTCGTTTGTCAATAAGGGCGGGTTTCCAAATGGCTGGCAGGCGGGAGGTGTCATCTCGTTTATTCATGCTGTGTGGACGTTTTTCTATCTCGATGGCTTCTCTGATTATTCTGTTGTTAAAGTGTTCAGTTTTGGCGATAGTTCTGGTCTTTTTAAAGTCAATATCATGTCCTGTGGCTTTGAGGTGTTGGACCAGGGAAGGAGTTGGTTCCTCTTTTCTGACTGAGTTCTTGTGTTCTTCAATGCGTGCACTTATTCTTCTGTTGGTTTGTCCGATGTATGTGGTGGGGCAGGCGGTGCAAGGGATTTCATATACTCCTTGATTTTCTAACTCAATTTTGTCTTTGGGGTTTCTTAGGATGGTGGATATTTTTCGGTTTGTGCAGAATGCTGTCTTGATGTTGTGTTTGTGGAGGATCTTGCTGATTCTGTCTGTGGTGCTTTTTATGTATGGGAGGAGGGCTTTGCCGTTTTCTTGTTCTCTGTCCTTTTTTTTTTTTTTTTTTTAATTTGATTTATATGCCGCCCTTCTCCGAAGACTCAGGGCGGCTTACAATGTGCTCAGCAATAGCCTTCATCCTTTTGTATATTTATACAAAGTCAGCTTATTGCCCCCACAAACTGGGTCCTCATTTCACCTACTTAGAAAGGATGGAAGGCTGAGTCAACCTTGAGCCTTGGCGAGATTCGAACCCTGCAGTAATTGCAGGCAGCTGGTCTTAATAAGCTTAATAACAGGGTGCCTTAAACCCCTGTACTACCAAGGCTCTTGTCTTGGATTTTAGTGGGGGTTTCTTTTTGGATTAGGTTGGTGATCTTATTTCTTTGGAATCCATTGGATGTTAGTACGTTAGTGAGAGTGTGTAGTTCGGTTTTTAGGTGTTGTTCATCAGCTAAGTGTTTTGTTCTGGAGATGAGTGTCTTGGCTACGGAGTTGATCTGTGCTGGGTGGTGGTGTGAGAGTGCGTGCAGATAGCGGTTTGTGTGTGTTTTCTTCTGGTAGATGGTGTGTCCTAGGGCTGCGTGGGGATTCAGGGGAGGGGAGGGGAGGGGTGGGTGGGGCCAGCCAGGAGTGGGATTTGGGGGTTCTCCGAACTGCACAGAATCTTAGCTAGAGGTTCTCTTGAACCCCTGCAAACTCCCAGCAGCCCACCCCTGAATATATTGAATATATATTCTGAATATATATAGCCTTCCATCCTTCCGAGGTGGACAAAATGAGGACCCAGATTGTTGGGGGCAATAGGCTGACTCTATAAACCGCTTAGAGAGGGCTGTAACGCTCTGTGAAGCGGTATATAAGTCGAAGTGCTATTGCTATAATAAATATCAATCATTATTCAGCTCAACAATTTAAATTGCAAGCCGGCCTGGCCTAATTTTCTCCCCTTTCTTTTAAATTTTTAAATTGGAATTTTAATTTGTTTTAAATTATTGGGATTTTTAATTGTCTTGGGCTAAATTATTTAATTTGGTTTTAATTATGTTTCTAACTTTTGTATTTATGTATTTTATTTTGTGCCTGTTCACCGCCCTGAGTCCTCCGGGAGTAGGGCGGTATATAAATTTAATAAAACAAACAAACAATAAAACAAACAAACAAATAACAATTTAAAAGGCATCCATTTAAAGAACAGACTATCATCTTCAGGTGGAACATACCAAAATTAATAGAGGAAACAAACCGACAAACTAAAAAACTCTTTTGGAAAAGCCCTTTTCTGGCTTTTAGAAAGGAATTCACAGAAATGGAGCCACCACTGAAAAAGCCCCGTCCCTTGTACTCGCCCCCGTATAGAATAATAAATATAAATCATTTCTCCAAAAAGCTGAGAAGGATATCTGCTACTTCTTTATTTTTTCTTGTGGCTATGTTGCTGTTTTTTTTTAAAAAAATAAATAAATGTGAGAAGTATGCAAAAAATGCTTGCTAAAACTATTGCAGGCAACTTAAAGTACAGATAAGTGTTGGGCCTAACTAGAAACAGCTTAAGGTTCAAATCCATCCTAAAGTTTGCAAACTCTGACTTTGGGCCAATCTCTCCCTCCCTTCGCACCCTTCCTGCCTCGCAGGGTTGTTGTTTTGAGGAAAATAACAATGGAGATACAGGTAGTCCTGGACTATTCAGCATTCATTTAACGAATGTAGCTAACAACAGCGCTGAAAAAGCTGATTTATGACCGGTCTTCACAGTTTTGTGACCGTCGTGGCGTCCCCAGGGGCCACTTGACCAAATTTGGGCACTTGGCGACTGGCATGTATTTAGGATCATGTGATCATAACCAGTGATAAAATGTAAAATTTGTTACTACCGGTTCTGTGGGCGTGGCTTGGTGGGGAGGTCATATGACTGAGTGGGCATGGCCAACTTTTTTTTTTTTTACTTTTAAAACCATTTTTAAACTGAAGAGGTTGTAAAAAAAATGCTTTTAAAGCGTCTGACGATCCCAGCTGACTTGCCTGGTTGGCAGAAGCTTTTTTTTTTTTTAAAGCCTCTGACGATCCCAGCTGACTTGCCTGATCGGCAGAGGCTTTTTTTCCTTTTAAAAACATTTTTTCTATAACCTCTTTGGCCGAAGAGGTTGTAGAAAAAATGCTTTTAAAAGCCTCTGATGATCCCAGCTGAGCCGCGCGATCATCAGAGGCTTTTTTTTTTTACTTTTAAAAGCATTTTTTCAGCCAAAGAGGTTGGAGAAAAAATGCTTTAAAAAAAAAAAAAGCCTCTGATGATTGTGCGGCTCAGCTGGGCAATGGGGGTGGGGCAGGGATTTTTGCTACTGGTTCTCCGAACCACCTGCCTCCATCGCTACCGGATCGAGTGATCCGGTCCAAACCGGGAGCATTTTACCCCTGATCATAACCATTTGTAACCTTCCCAGTCGGCTTCTGACAATCAAAGTCTATGTAGGGAAGTCAGGTTTGCTGAACGATCACAGGATTTCGTTAAAAACTGCATTGATTTGCTTAACAACTGTGGCAAAAAAAAAAAGGTCGCAAAATGGGGTGCAACACACTTAACAGCTGCCTTTCTTAGTAACGGAAACTTTGGCTCAATTGTAGTCCTAAACTGAGGACTCCCTATATCCATGATAGGACTCCTTACGCACAGTCACTCATGCCCTTGTCACCTCCCGCCTGGACTATTGTAACACTCTCTACATGGGGCTCCCCTTGAGGAGCACCCGGAGGCTCCAACTGGCGCAGAGTGCGGCTGCGCGGGTGGCAATGGGAGCGACATGGCGCTCCCATGTAACACCCCTCCTGCGCGAGCTGCACTGGCTCCCGGTGGTCTTCCGGGTGCGCTTCAAGGTTTTGGTTACCACCTTTAAAGCGCTCCATGGCTCAGGACCTGGGTACTTGCGGGACTGCCTACTACCACCAATAGCCTCCCACCGGCCGGTACGTTCTCATAGAGAGGGGCTCCTTCGGGTGCCATCGGCCAAACAATGTTGAGTGGCGGTCCCCAGGAGGAGAGCCTTCTCTGTGGGGGCACCTACTATCTAGAACGAGCTCCCCCCAGAGATACGGAGGATCCCGGATCTGTGCACCTTCCGCCGCGCTCTAAAGACCTTTTTATTTCACCAGGCGGGCCTGGCCTAACTTTCTTCCTCTTTTTAAACAATTTTAATAATTTTAATATTTTTTAATATTTTTAATGCTCAAAGTTTAAATTTGTTCTAAATTGATTGGGGTTTTAATCTGTCTGGGCCAAACTATTTAATTTGATTTTATTTCTGCTTTTAAATTTTGTATATATGTATTTTATTGTTGGCTGTTCACCGCCCTGAGTCCTTCAGGAGTAGGGCAGTATATAAATCAAATAAAAGTAAAGTAAAGTAAATGAACCTATGGCACACGTGCCACAGGTGGCACGCAGCGCCCTCTCTGTGGGCAGGCGAGCCGTCGCCCCAGTTTAGCTCCGCCGTGCATGTGCACGCGCCTCCCGCTGGCCAGCTTGTCTTCAGATCTCTGCTGCACATGCACAGGAGGTGGGGCACATGGAGGGGCACGCAGGCATGCTGTGGACACATGTGGGGTGTCCCACTCCACATGTGTCCCACACAGTGCCATGCATGCATGTGCAGGAGGCAGGGTGCATGCATGAGGGCCGTGCGTGCATGCACAGGGCTGGGCGTATACGCAGGGCCCATGTGGGCATCGCATTTTGGGGGTTTGGGTACACGCACACGCATTCATGCGTGCACAGGCACGCTTTGGGCACTCGGTCCGGAAAAAGTTAGCCATCACTGCCCTATATAGATGTAATATGAATATTACAAGGAACATTACGGTCTCAAATGGCATAAAATAACACCTCCTTCCCTCCCGGCCCAGCACATAAATTCAGCAATGGTATTTCCATTTTCTCTTCTTCCCCTGCAGGAAATGAAGCCACAGGGGAGCCGTTCCAGATGACCTTCCTGGAGTGAAGATGTCCTCCTTAGACCCCCTGCCTCCCGCCACGCCTCCCACTCAGAAACCCACTCGCATTATCAAGCCACGTCCGCCCACCAGGCCGCGTCCTTACGTGCCCCCCAGACCGGACTCCGCCAAGCTGCTCCGGGTCCCTACCCCTCCTTTGCCGCTGGAGAAGGACGGGCGCTCGCCGGCTACCGAACACCCGGGCGGCCCAGCTCAGCCCTTGCACAAGCTGCAGAAATCTGGCGCCGTTCGCAAGATCGTGGTACACTTCGATCAAACGGGTCCCCCGGAGAAAGAGGACGCCGAAAAAATTATCCGATCGCCGCCTTCCGGCTGCCAGCAGCATGAGAACAAGGAAGAAAAAGCCATTGGAGAAAAAGAGAGCACGGATCAGTTGGGTAAGTGGGACAGCTTTGCCTTGGGTTTAAGATAGTACATTTTGTAGAGAATCTCAGTCATCTAGTTTATTATTATTATTTTATTTTATTGGTTTGATTTATATGCCGCCCTTCTCCGGAGACTCAGGGTGGCTTACAATGCGTTAAGCAATAGCCTTCATACTTTTGTATATACCTGCTTAGTAGGGCTTTTGCCCCCCCTAAGCGGTGTTCTTTTTTATACTAAGTCAGCTTATTGCCCCCACAATCCGGGTCCTCATTTTACCTACCTCGAAAGGATGGAAGGCTGAGTCAACCTTGAGCCTGGTGAGATTTGAACTTGCAGTAATTGCAGGCAGCTGGTGCTACTTAACAGGACTTTAGACTGCTGCACCTCCAAGGTTGTCCCAAAGGTGCTTTTTTTAAGGAGACAACTGGACTTCCTTGTTTTTTCTTTTGAAGACGTTTCGCTTCTCATCCAAGAAGCTTCTTCAGCTCTGATAGGATAGTGGGGAATGGAAGGATTTATATTCCTTTCAGACAGCCGGTCATTTGCATCCTTTTAGAGGGTTGTTGAAACACTTGGAGGTTTATCTGTGTTCTCAGGGTGAAGCACTACTCAGGTGACTACTTTCGTGTGGGGAAAGCGAGTGCGTGCGTACGACAGCACATGTACACCCGACCTCCCCCCGCTCACCTGTGCATGCACGCGCAACCTCCCTTTCCCCCATTTTGGGCCTAGCAGGCCTCCCTGCAGCCTCCTGAGATCAAAAACGGGCCGTGGGGGGGGCGCTGCCTCCCTGCCCCCCATTTTGGGCCCATTTTGGGCCTAGCACACCTCCCTACAGCCTCTTGGGCCCAAAAACGGGCTGTGGGGGGGCGCTGCACCCCCCCTGCATGTACACACGACCCCCCACACACACATGGGCACATGAGCCCCCCTGCGCATGTGCATGTCTCACGTATGCGTGAGACACCCACGCATCCCAAAAATCAACTGGCCAGTGGGAGGCGCATGCGTGTATGCATGGTGGAGCTGAGCTGGGCGACAGCTCAGGTGCCCACAAAGAGAGTTCTGCGTGCCAGCTGTGGCACATGTGCCATAAGTTTGCCATCACGGCCTTAACCTAATTTACCTCACAGGGTTGTTGTGGGGAAAATAGGAGGAGGAAGTTGTGTTAGATACCATTCCTGTCTTGAGTTATTTGTAAAAGCAATAAACGGTATAAATAAAAAAAATTAAAAATTGTCTCTCTCCCTCTGCTTCCTCTCAGATCCTTGCAAGGAAACCCAGCCATCGGTATTATCGGAGGCGGAGCAAAACGGGCTGGATTTTCCCACTTCCTGTCTGTCCGGCTGCCCCTGTGTTTGCCATCAACAGAACCCGGGCATGGTCTTGGTTTGGGTCCCCGCAACATCCCAGCTGCAGGATATGGAGAACGGGCTGGCTTCGGACCTATCATCCTCTGCCGACGAAGGCGGAGCCTCCTTCCAAAAATTCCTGGGAATCGGTGCCTCGCCTGCCCAGCCTTCCTCCATCGCAGCGGGCAGGGTCCCGAAAACTCGCCGCTCGTCCCGAAGCAAAAAGCCCCTTGACTCCCCGCCGTCCACAAACGGGCATCCCGAAGGGGGTGTCGTGTTAACGAGCTACCGTTCCACGGCCGAGCCCCTTCCGCTACGCTGCCCGCCGTTGATGCCGAAGCCACCTCGTCGCAACAAAGGGGGTGGCTCTGTCTCTCTGGATGGCGAGCTCCTACCTCCGGCCATCCCGCCAAAAGCCCCCACGAAACCACCTCGCAGCTCCTTGGGACCCTCGGCTCGCCGGAGTTCCCTCCAATACCCTCTTGAGATGAACCACCTTCCTGGCCGCGTCTCTCCGTTTGCTGTTGGGGAAGGTTTTCTCATGTTGCCTCCCCCCACCCAGCCACCCCCACCTCCCCCAACGTCCCAGACCCCTCCGCCCCTCCCGATTTCTCAGGCTCGCTCCCAGATGTGCACAGCTCCCCCTCCGCCTTCTCAGCCCCCTCCCCTGCTGCCTCAGGGTCTCCCTCCTCCGCCAACTCAGCCGCCGCCGCCGCTGGACGGTTCATCTCTGGAGGACAGCCCTTGTCAAGGTACCATTTGCATCCTCTTGGGGTAAAATGTATCTCCCAACCTCAACCGCTTTAAGATGTATGGACTTCAACTCCCAGAATTCCCCTGGCCAGTTTTGCTGGCTGTGGAATTCTGGGAGTTGAAGTTCAGACCTCTTAATATCGTTGAAACAGAAACTTTGTGGTAGCTGGCTTAGAATTCTGGGAGTTGAAGTCCAGACATCTTAATGTGGTTGAAATTGAGAAACTTTGTGTTAGCTGGTTGTGGAATTCTGGGAGTTGAAGTCCACACTTTTTTTTTTTTTTTTTTTTTTGGGAAAAACCGTTTTTTTTAGAATTTTTCTTTCATCATACATATTTCATACATGTTGACCGGGTATCTTCCCATTTTTCCATATTTTTTTTATTTATTTATTTTAATTTGATTTATATGCCGCCCTTCTCTGGAGATTCAGGGCAGCTTACAATGCGTTAAGCAATAGCCTTCATACTTTTGTATATTTATACAAAGTCAGTTTATTGTCCCCACAAACTGGGTCCTCAATTTACCTACCTTAGAAAGGATGGAATGCTGAGTCAACCTTGAGCCTGGCGGAATTCGATCTTACTTTAATTGCAGACAGCTGGTTTTAAATTACAGAGCTCTGTCTGTTGAGCTATCCAGACTCCTGGATTCTATTTATCTCTTATATAATCGTTTATCACAAATTAATCATTTTTCACCATATTTTATTATTTCAGCTTCTGCCATGTTATTCTTTTTTTCAAATCTATTTTACATCATATCTTTCTTTCCAATTTTAGCCATAAATATTCTCTTTCCATACCGTGTTTCCCTGAAAATAAGACCCTGTCTTATATTTTTTTGAATCTTGAAATAAGTGCTTGGCCTTATTGCCTTGCGCTCAAATGCCCGATTGGGCTTATTATCAGGGGATGTCTTATTTTGGGGGAAACAAGGTAGTTCTTTATCTTATCTTATTTTCTTCTTAATACGTAAACAATATCACCATCCGCCCTTAATTCCTAATCCCTTACAATAACATCAATTAATTATCTTATTTCTCCATTGCTAAATATATTTCTCAAATTTCCCATCCCACTTTTTAACATTTCAACTTCGTCTCTTAATTTAAATTGTCTTCAAAATTATCGTATTTTTCGGAGTATAAGACGCACCGGAGTATAAGACGCATCTACCTTTTTTGGTGAGGAAAAGAAGAAAAAGAAATCTCCCTCTGCCTCTGCCTTTGAGCAATTTTGCCTCCTTGCAGCATACAGCAAACAGCCTGCTTTACTTTCATTTTCGTTTTTATAATTCAGCTTGATTAGCACAAAGAAAAAAAATCTGCTCCAGCAATTTACCTCTTTGCAGCAAGCAGCAGAGCCCTGCGCAAAACAGCTGAGAGTAAATCAGCTAAGAGTCGGGAGACTGATCCAATCAACTTGTTCTAATTAGACTGTGCTGAAGCTGAAAGGAGCTGTTTTTTCTTGCTGTTTGCTTGCAAGGTGGTAACTGCTGCGAGGCAGAGGCCAAAGGGTGGGAGGCCAGTGGGTGGGCGGGGCCACATTTGATGTATAAGACGCACCTAAATTTTCACCCCCTTTTAGGGGGGAAAAAGGTGCATCTTATACAGTACTCCAAAAAATACAGTAAACCAAATTGCCATTTCACATTTCATCTGCTATTCTGTTTTACTATACGCAATATACATCATCATATGCAAATCTTACATAAAAAAACCCTTTAACTTAGTTGACCATGCACAATTAATAATATTAATACAATTCCCTTAAATCTACTAGTATGTACCTTATTTTCCTTCCTCCTTTCAAGCCCACACTTCTTAATGTAGTTGACACTGCAAAATTTTGCGGTAGCTGATTGTGGAATCCTGAAAATTGAAATCCACACAGCTTAACGTAGTTGAAACAGAAACTTTGTGGTAGCTGGGTTGGAATTCTGGGAGTTGAAGTCCCTCTTAATGTAGTTGAAACTGAGAAACTTCGTAGTAATTGTTTGTGGAATTCTGGGAGTTGAAGTCCAGACTTTTTAATGTACTTGAAATTGCGAAATTTTGGGGTAGCTGATTCTGGAATTCTGAAAATTGAAGTCCACACATCTCAACATAGTTGAAAGTGAGTAACTTTATGGTAAAAGGACAGGGATATTGTGCTGTCACCCATTTTCAAATTTTTCTTAGCTAAGGGACTGCTTAAAGGGGGCGAAATTCCAAAACCAGAGGGGGCATTTTTGTCTGGGGCACAAGAAACCTTTCAGTTCGAAAAGTACAAAGTTTGAAATGTCTTTTTTTTTCCCCCCTCAAATGCGGCAGCTCAGTTTTTCTGCTTGGAAGCCTTTCAGTTCTCCCCAAATATCTCATTTCTCCCTCAGTAACCTGTTGTACGCTAGAAACTGGGCACTGAAAATAAAACAGTGTTTTGACTCAAAACATTTGACGTATTGTTACGGGGCAAAGGTCTTGTTTTTCTAGACTTCCGGGAAAGTTCCACTATCTCTTAGGTCTTCCACTATCGCTTAGGTCCCAGGATATTTGTCGGACCATCTGCAACCAGCAACAACTCCCCATCGCCCGGTGCGTTCTCACAGGGAGGACCTACTCAGGGTGCCGTCGGCTAGACAGTGTCGACTGGCGACCCCTAGAGGCAGAGCTTTCTCTGTGGGTGCTCCCACCCTCTGGAACCAACTTCCTCTGGGGCTCCGGTTGGCCCCTGACCTCCGCACCTTCCGCCGCGACTTAAAGACATGGCTGTTCAGCCTGGACTGGGAGAGTTAACATGTATTTTAACACGCTTTTATTTGGATACTTTATTGTTGTGAGCCGCCCTGAGTCCTATGGAGATAGGGCGGCATATAAATCTCTACATGGGGCTCCCCTTGGGGTGCACCCGGAGGCTCCAACTGGTGTAGAATGCGGCCGCGTGGGGGATTATGGGAGCGATGGGGCGCTCCCATGTGACTCCTCTCCTGCGCGAGCTGCATTGGCTTCCGGTGGACTTCCGGGTGCGCTTCAAGGTGTTGGTGATGACCTTTAAAGCGCTCCATGGCTTAGGACCGGGGTACTTACGGGACCGCCTTCTGCCACGAATTGCCTCCCACCAGCCAGCTCCCACAGAGAGGGCCTCTTCAGGGTGCCGTCGGCCAGACAATGTCGGCTGGCGACCCCCAGGGGGAGAGCCTTTTCTGTGGTGGCACCTACCCTCTAGAACAATCTACCCCCAGAGATACGAGTGATCTCCGACCTCCGGACTTTTCTTCGGGCCCTAAAAACCTATTTTTTTCAGTTAGCCGGGCTGTCCTGATTTTACGGTTGGTTTTAAAATTTGATATGGATTTTAATTAAAAAGTCTTAAATTACGGGCCAAATTTATTTAATTATTTTAAATCTATTTTTAACTTTTGTGTATAAATGTATTTATCTTGGCTGTTCACCGCCCTGAGTCCGAAAGGAGAAGGGCGGTATAGAAATCTGAAAAATAAAATAAAATAAATAAATAAATAAATAAAATAAAATCAATAAATCTCTGATCCGATCGGAGAGGAACACTCTCTGTTCCCTCTGCTATTGATAATGTGGCTTGGCTCATTTACTTCGAGTTGCACGTAGTCCTCGACTTAACGACCATATTGGAGCCTGCCTCTTATGGCCGCAAGTCCAGTTTTCAGCAAAAAAAAAAAAGCATTGTAAAATGTGATCATGTGACCACGAGACACTGCAAATGACTATCCATTGAAGCCAGTTGTCAAACACCAGAACTACATTTTCATGTTGGGGACGGGGGGGGGGGGCAACCATTGGAACTTCAGAAATGGGTCATAAGCACCAATGGGGTGTTGTGGCCCACCAGCGGTGGCAGATTCAGACAGTGAGGAGATTGGGGAGGAACATGGGCCAGTCCTGGAGTCTGAGGAAGGCTCTAATGAGGGCTCTGCGTCGGAGGCAGAGAGGGGGCCAGGGCCGTCTTACAGTTGTCAGCTGCCTTCGGAGTCGGACATCAGTGGGGCAGAAGAAAAGCTGGAGCCTGTTCCCAGTGTGCACATGTGCAGAGTTGCCAGGAGAAGGGAACAGCTAAGGAACAAGGGTCGACTCAGGAGTAAAGCCCCAGGTGGACGGTGAATGGCCCCTCCCATAGGGAATAAGGAGCGAAAGGGGAGTGGAATTTGCAGGAGACAATTAGTTTGCTTTATTTATTTATTTATTTATTTATTTATTTATTTATTTATTTATTTATTTATTATATTTCTATACCGCCTTTCTCCCGTAGGACTCAAGGCGGTGTACAGTCAAGAAAAATATAGACACACAAACATCATAAAATTGCTAATTAAAATTATTACTTAGTTTGGTCAATTAAATAAAACCCAGAATTAGATAACATTTAAAAAATCATTCACATGTTCGTATGTTTAGCCCTGCCTGTTGGAACATCAGGGTCTTGAGGGCACGGCGGAAAGCACGGAGATCAGGGATATTCCGTATCTCCGGGGGCAGTTCATTCCAAAGGGTTGGAGCCCCCACAGAGAAGGCCCTCCCCCTGGGAGTCGCCAGTCGACATAATTTGACTGACGGTACCCTGAGTAGTCCCTCCCTGTGAGAACGAACTGGTCGGTGGGAGGCTATTGGTGGCAAAAGACGGTCTCGTAGGTACCCAGGTCCTAAGCCATGGAGCGCTTTAAAGGTGATAACTAACACCTTGAATCGCACCCGGAAGACCACCGGGAGCCAGTGCAGCTCGCGTAGGAGAGATGTTACATGGGCGTAACGAGCTGCGCCCATAATCACCCGTGCGGCTACGTTCTGGACCAGTTGGAGCCTCCGGGTGCTTTTCAAGGGGAGCCCCATGTAGAGAGCATTACAGTAGTCCATACGGGAGGTAACTAGGGCATGAGTTCGTGACTCTCCTGAGACTCCTTGCCAAGTTTTGAAGATATCGGCCTGGCAGCTCTCCAAGCCAGATAAGGTCTGTGACTGTAAATTCTCCCTTGAAAGACTTTGCTGGATGCGAATGAGAGGAATTCACAGTAACTTAATAAAAAGGGGGTTTTGTCGGGACAAGGAGTCTGCTTCGTGGTTTGGGGAAGTCTAGGTCAGAACATGGGGAAGTGCATGGTAGATTCCAATGGTTGCTACGCAATCGGTTGTAAATAATCGAGGACCACCCGTGTTTGATTCAGACTTCCTTCATCTGATGCATTCCAGAAGTGTTACACTGCAGCTCCCATCTCCTCAATCCAAACCGAAAACATGGGTGAGGTGTTACAGCAGTGCTTCGGTTTTCCCCAGTGTCCATAATCTGTGCTTGTCTGTGTTATGAACTGAAATGTCCTTTCCTGTTAACCCGTTCCTGGTCTTTCGTTGACTCTGCCAACTTTTCCTTCCGCAGGTGGCTGCGAAAATGAAGAGAGCAGTTTCAGCGAGTCGGAGACGGACAAGTCAGACAACAGGTGTGTTCAGATTACAGATTAACAGAGTTGGAAGGGACCTTGTAAATCATCTAGTCCAACCCCCCGCCCAAGCAGGAGATCCTATACCATTTCTGACAAATGACAGTCCAAGCTCTCCTTGAAAGCCTCCAGTGATGAAGCTCCCACAACTTCCAAAGGCAACTTCTGTTCCATGGGTTGATTGTTGTCACTGTCAGAAAATTTCTCCTTATTTCTAGGTTGAATCTCTCCTTGATCAGTTTTCCTCCATTATTCCTTGTCTGGCCTTCAGGTGCTTTGGAAAATAGCCTGACCCCCTCCTCTCTGTGGCAGCCCCTCAAATATTGGAAGACTGCTATCATGTCTCCCCTGGTCCTTCTCTTCACTAGACTAGCCATGCCCAGTTCCTGTAACCGTTCTTCGTATGTTTTAGTCTCCAGTCCCCTAATCATCCTGGTTGCTCTCCTCTGCACTTTTTCTAGAGTCTCAACATCTTTTTTTAGTGTGGTGACCAAAACTGGATGCAGAATTCTAGGTGTGGTCTTACTAAGGCCTTATAGAGTAGTATTAGTACCTCACTTGATCTTGATTGTATCTTCTCCGGAGACTCAGGGCGGCTTACAATGCGTTAAGCAATAGCTTTCATACTTTTGTATCTACCTGCTTAGTAGGGCTTTCGGCCCCCCCTAAGTGGTGTTCTTTTTTATACAAAGTCAGCTTATTGCCCCCAACAATCCGGGTCCTCATTTTACCTACCTCGAAAGGATGGAAGGCTGAGTCAACCTTGAGCTTGGTGAGATTCGAACTTGCAGTAATTGCAGACAGCTGGTGCTATTTAACAGCACTTTAGTCTGCTGTGCCACCAAGGCTCTTATAGCCTTGTTTATGCCTTTCATGTTTATGACAGTTGTCCTGGGGTCATGGGATCCCTTTTTGGGTCCTTTTGACAAATGGGGAGGCCCGATTCACTTAACAGCTGCGTTACAAATACAACTGCAGTGATTCACTTAACAACCGTGGCAAGAAAGGTTATAAAATGGGAGAAAACTCAGTTAACAACTATCTCAATTAGCAACATAAATTTTGGACTCAATTGTAAGTTGAAGATTACCTGTATTGTATCTTGACACTGTCTATTGATCATTATCTCTGGAGGATTTATTACTTCTGAACAAGGAGTAAATGGTGTGAAAAGCTATGGAAGCTGATTTTAGCTGGTGCTCCCATACCCTACGGTATTTTTCGGAGTATAAGACGCACCTTTTTCCCCCCTAAAAGGGAGTGAAAATTTGGGTGCGTCTTATACACCAAATATAGCCCCACCCACCCACTGGCCCCCACCCTTTGGCTTCTGCCTCCCAGCAATTTACCTCCTTGCTGCAAGTAGCAAGAAGAAACAGCCCATTTCAGCTTCAGCACAGCCTAATTAGCACAAGTTGATTGTCCGTTGGATCGGCCTCCTGACACTCAGCTGTTTCAAGCTGCAGGCCATTGCCTATTGCTGCACGGGCCTCTGCTGCTTGCTGCAAGGAGGTAAATTGCTGGGAGCAGATTTTTTTTTCTTGTGCTAATCAAGCTATGCTGAAAATGAAAATGAAAGTAAAGCAGGCTATTTGCTGTTTGCTGCAACGAGACAAAATTGCTGGGAGGCAGAGGCACATTTCTTTTTCTTGTTTTCCTTACCAAAAAAGGTAGGTGCGTCTTATAGTCCAGAGCGTCTTATACTCCGAAAAATACGGTACTTTTGCTTGCCGCAATTGTGAGCAGTTGCTCTATATAAAACTCTCATATCTCATTGTCTGTAACCTTCAGCTGGGCAAAACAGGGTATCATAGGGCAATAGTTTTCCATCAACGTACCTCGAATGGGCTAACTTACAAAATGCAACCACCCATGACTCCTGAAAGATTGGCAAAATTGTGGCCATTTCAGTGCCGCCTCAATCATCCGTTGGGGAAGTGATCATTATTTCCATCGCTCCCTAACAAACTTCCTTTAAAGGAAAGTCACTGGGGAAGCCAGCGGGAAATTGGAAGTCACTCCCGCTGCCACTGCCTTTTTGTCCGCCCATCGTCTTTCTGTCACTCTCACCCATCTCCTGTGGGGTTGAAATTTGGCAAAGGTGTGGCTGCTTCAGTGCTGCCATGCCACCACACTGCTATGTCAGCCGTGGCAGTCACGCGATCGTTAATTTCCCCCCACTCCCTGCCAGCTTTCTGCAAGGAAAGTCCATGGGGAACCTAGCAGGAAGTCAGAAGTTGGTCCCACTGCTGTTTTGGCTGCTTGTGGTTAGTCTTGTTTCTCTGTTTTAGTAAGGAAATATCTTTGAAATGGCCCAATGAGGCATGGCTTGCCTACTTTTAGCAAAATTCTTAGCTTGTTGGACTGGATATGCCAAACCTACCAGCCCATTTCTCCCACAGGAGGTGCCACTGTTAAACATGTTCGATCAGTTCTTTGGCTCCCTGAAATATAATCTGTCAGTTATTTGTTGCATTCTTCTTAAATAACAGATTTATACAGACGGAGAGAAAGTTATATATATTTTCAACATAGGAAAAACCCTGATTGCAAAAATATCACACATTTATACCTATGAATTAAAAGGAATAAATATTTGACCTATACAGGGAGGAGTTATAAAATATGGGTGTGGCTGGCTGAAGAAGTCTCATAAGACAGAAATAGTACTATCCCAGTCTCCCATAAGTCTCAGAAGAAACAACATAAAATGTCTGACAGGCCTGAAAGCGATGATTAGAGATTTCATCCCACCATGGCCATTTAACATCTTTTTTTCAACATAGGAAAAACCCTCATTGCAAAAATATCACACATTTATACCTATGAATTAAAAGGAATATATATATATATATATATTATATGTATCTCAAAATCCATAGTCTTGAAGAATTTATATATATATAAAAGAGCTTTCAAAAATTCTTTAAGACTATGGATTTTGATTATTGCTTTTTTGGCACAAGAAAAGGGGAATATATGTTTAATTAATTATTTGAAAAGGATTTCCATTAGCGAAAGAGTATTCTTTAATCATTGCTGTCAAATTGAGTACTTATGAAGGAAGTAATTTGATGAGAAAGGAAAATCCCAGAGACGAAATAGATCCCTTTTTCCTGAATTTGTGGTTTTGAACATCTCTATTTCTGAATTCTGAATTGATGGGGTTTTCTAAACCGTTAGCAGCAAAAAAATAAATAAAAAAATAAAAATCTTCCCAATGACATCAAAATTTAAAAATTGGGGGGAAAACCAAGAGGTTTATTCTATATTCAGGGTTCTTCGTTTGATGGTAGATGAAGAAGATATATTTTTTCCTCCCAACATCGTGGCGTTAACAGGCTTCTTAGCAAATCAACAACTACAGAGTTGTTGTGTTCATAGGATTGCTTAAAGGTTCCCATCGCACATATGTGCTAGTCGTTCCTGACTCTAGGGGGCAGTGCTCATCTCCGTTTCAAAGCCGAAGAGCCAGCGCTGTCCAAAGACGCCTCCGTGGTCACTTGGCCGGCATGACTAAACGCCAAAGGTGCACGGAACGCTGTTATCTTCCCACCAAAGGTGGTCCCAATTTTTTCTACTTGCATCTTTTACGTGCTTTCGAACTGCTAGGTTGGCAGAAGCTGGGACAAGTAACGGGAGCTCACCCGGTTATGCGGCACTAAGGATTCGAACCACTGAACTGCTGACCTTTCGATCGATAAGCTCGGCGTCTTAGCCACTGAGCCACTGTGTCCCTTATAGGATTGCTTATAATGGCCTTTTTCTGCTTTGCCCCTATATCACAGGCATTCTTCAGCGCTCTCGTCTAAGAGTCCGGACTGGGGGCTTTGCCTGCAGGACGGTAAGTGGACAGCACGTTTATTTTTTTTAAAAAAAAAATTGAGAGCAAAGACAAACCCAGGAAAAGTGACTCAGTTAAAGACACGGAACAGCCTCTGACTCATTTTCTTTTCCTTCTTCTGAAATCCCATGTGAAATTCTCATATTCTCCCATATCCTAAAACAGCGTTTCTCAACTTTTAAGATCAATCAGAATAGAGCTGAAAGGGACACTTGGAGGTCTTCTACTCCAACCCCCTGCTCAAGCAGGAGACTCTATACCTGTTGTGGCCTGCCAGTGGCCAACGGATCTGGCAGCAGATTCGGACAGTGAGGAGGTTGGGGAGGAACATGGGCCAGTCCTGGAGTCTGGGGAAGGCTCTGATGAGGGCTCTGCGTCAGAGGCAAAGAGGGGACCAGGGCCGTATGCCAGTTAACAGCTGCCTTTGGAGTCAGACATCAGTAAGGCAGACGAACAACTGGAGCCTGTTCCCAGTGTGCGCATGCGGAGAGTTGCCAGACGAACGGAATAGCTAAAGAACAAGGGTCGACTTGGGAGTAAGGCCACAGGTGGACGATAAATGGCCCCTCCCAGAGGTAATAAAAGAGGAGCGAAAGGGGAGTGGAGTTTGCAGGAGACAATTAGTTCATTACTGCGTTCTTGCCAAATATTGCTGTTCTGTCCCCGTACCCCACACGCACCCCCACAGACGGCCCGGAGTTAATAAGCCACACGACAAAACTCTTTGAAGATAAAGCTGGCAGCAAGCCAGTGGCTAGCTGCCAATTCAGACTTTACTCACACAAAACAAAGATTAGACTGCCAGCATTCTGATAAAACAGGCAGAGTGTCAACAATACAAGGATTAATCCAAATGCAGTCCGATAAAGCAGGCAAAGTTCAGTAACACAGAGATCATGGAGTATTTCTGAACCGGCCACCACACTCACATTTATATCCTGTGGGGTGTGGTCCAGTGACTCAGCTAATCTCTGGCACACCTTCCCTTCTGCTGTGCACGCTTCTCCCTGCGCCTCTGTTGCGGGTCCAGCCAGCACTTATCTTCTTCATCGCTGTCCACCTGTGGCTGCGGGGACGTGCTTGGCTCTGAGCCTATTGTTTGGCCTTCGGTGTCCTCCGGAGGCATTGCCAGAGAGGAGGGTCCTGGAGAGGGAGGCCTTGGTAACTCCTCTCCCTCACTCTAAGAGTCTGCATCTGTCGATAGCCCAGGCTCAGGCAACGGAGCCACAACAATTGCAAGACCGAAAGAGTCTTGAAAGACTGTGGGAGAAGAAAGACTTTGCTGGAGAGGAATTCACTGTAAATTAAATAAAAGGGTTTTTTGTCAGGACGTGGACTCGGCTTTGTGATTTGGGGAAGCCTAGGTCAGAACGATACCATTTCAGACAGGTGGCTGCATAGTCTCTTCTTAAAAACCTCCAGTGATGAAGCACCCACAACTTCTGAAGGCAAGCTGTTCCACTGGTTAATTGTCCACCCTCTTAGGAAGCTTTTTCTTAATTCCAGGTTGCTTCTCTCCTTGATTAGTTTCCATCTGTTGTTTCTTGTCTTGCCTTCTGGGGCTTTCAACTCTGGGAGTTGAAGTCCACAAATCTTAAAAGTTGACGAAGTTGAGAAACGTTGCCCTGGAGGCATAGTTCACTGCTGAGATGGTTTAAAAGCCCTGATTAGGATGCTACCTCATTGCTACATCCTTGTGCTACCATTCCCTAGTAGTTACTCATCCGGATTTCCTTCTTTAGGTTTTTAAAGTTCACTTACACAGAGTCTAACTGTGGAGACCATGTGCTGGGGACATTCCTAGGAACTCATTATACCAGTGTTTTTCAACCTCAGCCATTTTAACATGTAGGGATTTCAACTCCCAGAATTCCACAATCAGTTACCACAGAGTTTCTCAGTTTCAACTACATTAAGATGTATGAACTTCAACTCCCAGAATTCCAAGCCAGCTACCACAAAGTTTCTGCTTAACTATATAAAGATGTGTGGACTTCAACTCCCAGAATTCCAAACCAGTTACCACAAAGTTTCTATTTCAACTATGTAAAGATGTGTGGACTTCATCTCCCAGAATTCCAAGCCAGCTACCACAAAGTTTCTGCTTCAACTATGTAAAGATGTGTGGACTTCATCTCCCAGAATTCCAAGCCAGCTACCACAAAGTTTCTGCTTCAACTATGTAAAGATGTGTGGACTTCAACTCCCAGAATTCCAAGCCAGCTACCACAAAGTTTCTGTTTCAACTATGTTAAGATGTGTGGACTTCAACTCCCAGAATTCCAAGCCAGCTACCACAAAGTTTCTGCTTCAACTATGTAAAGATGTGTGGATTTCAACTCCCAGAATTCCAAGCCAGCTACTACAAAGTTTCTGCTTCAACTACGTAAAGATGTGTGGACTTCATCTCTCAGAATTCCAAGCCAGCTACCACAAAGTTTCTGCTTCAACTATGTAAAGATGTGTGGACTTCAACTCCCAGAATTCCAAGCCAGCTACTACAAAGTTTCTGCTTCAACTACGTAAAGATGTGTGGACTTCATCTCTCAGAATTCCAAGCCAGCTACCACAAAGTTTCCTGCTTCAACTATGTAAAGATGTGTGGACTTCAACTCCCAGAATTCCCCCAGCCAGCAAAACTGGCTGGGGGAATTCTGGGAGTTGAAGTCCACACATCTTAAAATGGCTGAGGTTCGAGAAATACTGCACTACGCCCTTTACTTCACACAACTTAAAATAGTTTTTCAGATACGCTTATAATATTTAATAGGATGCTGACAGCTTTCTGAGAACCCGGGGCAAAAACTGGACAATTGTAACCTTGAAGGATTTTTTTGTTTTTTATGAAGTATAGATAGTCTTCGACTTACAACCATTCGTTTAGTGACCGTAAAACAGCACTGAAAAAAGTGACTCATGACCATTTTTCACACAACCATTGCTGCACCCCTCCCCCCATGGTCATGTGATCAAAATTTGGTTCATATTTATGATGGTTATGAGTCCCAGGGTCATATACCACCAGTTCGCCACACGTACTCACGCTCACTTCGCGTGCGCACCTTCAGCGCATGTGCCCGGCCTTCCACGCATGCACTTTGTTCATGCGCACACCTTCTGTGCATGCACCCGTCCTCAAAAACATGGCTAAATAGGACTGCATAGCGCCGGGGTGGGTGGGCAGGCCCACCCACAATCTCCACTACCAGTTCGCACGAACCAGCTGAATACCATTTCTGGTCATGTGATCCCCTCTTGCAACCGTCTGACAAGCAAAGTCAATGGGGAAGCTAGATTGACTGAACAACTATGTTGCTAATTTAACGACGACAGTGATTTGCTTAACAACTGGGTCAAGGAAGGCCGTAGACTGGTTTAAAGCTCACTTCACAACACTCCTCCTTAACAAAAGAAATTTTGGGTTCAGTTGTGATCGTAAGTCGAGGGTGATAGTTGTTCATTTGGGCATGGCGCGTTATTCCCCCACTGAGGTTCACTGTGTTGTGTCTTTCTCTGCCTTCTGTTGTCTTGCAGAACCTTTGTATCAAACCTATCGCCAGGCTGTCATCTCCAAGGAGATCAAGAGGCAGACGGTTCCACGCAACAGTAGTTTCAGCAGCTCGGATTACAGAGCCCCTTCTCCTGGGGAAGGGACAACGGGACCCCAGGGCCCCGTCCCTCATAGCACCCTTTGGCAGGAGCTGCCAGCTGTGCGAGAAAGCGGCGTTTTGGACAACATCAGCCCAGAAGAAAGGAAAATGCAAGAGGTGAGTCTAATAGGACTTAGGTAAGAAAGGCGCTTCCCACCAGACAGAATTCGAGGTGTCTGAAATTTGCTTCAGAAATTTTCCTGACGGTTGGAACAATTAATCGGTGGAACGACTTGCTTCCAGAAGTTGTGGGTGCTCCAACACTGGAGGTTTTTAAGAAGAGATGGGGCAACCATTTGTCAGGAATGGCATAGGGCCGTGATGGCGAACCTACGGCAAGCGTGCCACAGTTGGCACGCAGAGTCCTCTCTGCGGACGTGCGACCCGTCGCCCAGCTCAGCTCCACCGTGAATGTTTGTGCGCCTCCCACTGGCTAGCTGATTTTCAGGATATGCGGGGGGGCAGGCCGCATGCAGGAGATGCATGTGCATGCGCAGGGGGGGTCGCACACATGTGTGGGGGATGGGAGTTGCAGGGGTGGGGGCAGAGCACGGAGGGGGGCGACATGTCCTCCCACAGCCCATTTTTGGGTCCAGGAGGCTGCAGGGAGGCCTGCTAGGCCAAAAATGGGGCGTGGGGGGGTGCGGCCCGCCCCCCTCACGGCCCGATTTTGGGCCCAGGAGGCTGCAGGGAGGTCTGCTAGGCAAAAGACAGGGCGTGGGGGGGTGCGGTCCACCCTTCTCATGGCCCGTTTTTGGGCCCAGGAGGCTGCAGAGAGGCCTGCTAGGCCAAAAACTGGACATGGGGGGGGTGCGGTCTGCTCCTCTCATGGCCCATTTTTGGACCCAGGAGGCTGCAGAGAGGCCTGCTAGGCCAAAAATGGGGCGTGGGGGGGTGCGGTCCGCCCCCCTCATGGCCCATTTTTGGTCCCAGGAGGCTGCAGAGAGGCCTGCTAGGCCAAAAACGGGGCGTGGGGTGGGTGCGGTCCTCCCTCCTCATGGCCCATTTTTGGGCCCAGGAGGCTGCAGGGAGGCCTGCTAGGCCAAAAACGGGGCATGGGGGTGTGTGGTCCGCACCCCTCATGGCCCATTTTTGTTCCCAGGAGGCTGCAAAGAGGCCTCCTAGGCCAAAAACAGGAGAAAAGTTGGTCACATGTGCATGCGTGGGGGGTGCCTGGGGGGGTAGTGCACGCAAGCGGAGGCGGTGCGCGCTTTGCATTATGGGTGCCAGCACACGCGCTTTCAGCACACGACAAGAAAAAGGTTAGCCATCACGGGCATAGGGTTTCCTGTCTGCGCAGGGAGTTGAACTCGAAGACCTCCAAGATCCTTCCCACTCTGTTATTCTGCTTCGGGAACACTCAAAACGTGCAAAGTTTCGTTGAACACTCTAAGGAGTTGTGTTGGCCGGGTTCTTCCCTTCGCCTCTCCTCCACCCCCCCAGAAAATGAGATCATTTTAAATTGAGAGTTCCTCTTTATTTGCGACTTGGGACTGGGTGTTTCACGCATGAATTACGACCCGAGCTAGATCAGCAGATTAATATTATTTTTCCAACTCACGTGGCACGGGGGAGACATGAGTATCCGAATGGTGCGAATGAATATTGTGCTGGAGTCCGAACTTTTCATGTGTACGTTAGTGGATTCTGATTTTCTCCCCCCTCTCCCAATAACACGAGACACACTTGTAATTGTAAATTGTGTTAGCGATGGAATAAAGCAAAAATAAGCGCCACTCCCAAGCACAGATATGACCTGGCGACTTCTTCCCCCCCCCCCCCCACTGTTCTTCATGATACAGGATACATCTTGTTGTATCTGTTGCCAGCATTGTGTGGTCTCCTTTAGGCAGCCAACAAATTGTTGCAATGTTCCCGTGGGTGAAATCTGACTCATCAACTACAGGTAGTTCTCGACTCACAATTGGTTGTTTAACAACCCATTCAGAGGTGGGATTCACTTACCTTCCCTACCGGTTCAGAAATGTGAGCATGCGGCTTTCTGCACATGCGCAGTGCTCATGGATTACATCCGGGCGGGTGGGCGGAGCCTCGCGCAGTCGCCGCTACAGGTTCGCCCGATCTGGAAAGAACCGGCTGAATCCCACCACTGAATCCCATTGGAGCTACAGTGGCCTCAGAAAGAAGTGTTTTTTTAGGCCCTGTGAAACACTTCCGGTTGTCGGAAAATGTTGCGCAGCTCTCTTTTCCCTGGGGTCACATGACCACATGTTGGATGCTTGCCAATCGACTCGCATTTTTAACAGATTTAACAGGTGACCTTGTAGGTCATCTAGTCCAATCCCCTTCCTTCCCCCCAAGCAGGAGACCCTACATCCGTGATGGCGAACCTGATGGTGGCACGCGGAGTCATATTGATTGGCACGCAAGCTCAGTTTGCCGACTTCTGTTTCCAGCCTCTGGAGGGCCTTCGGGGAGGGGGGGGAGGCCGTTTTTGTCCTCCCCAGGCTCCTAGAAAGGCTCTGGAGAGTGGGGAGAGCGAAAAACAGGTCTTCTGGTCCCACCGGAAGTCGGCAAACGGGCCGTTTCCAGCCTCCAAAGGGCCTCCAGAGGGGGTAGGGAAGGCCGTTTTCACCCTCCCCAGGCTCCTAGAAAGCCTCTGGAGCCTGGGGAAGGTGAAAAACGGTGCCACCGTAGCATTGCGTGCCAAAAGCAGGGGGGGGGCATGTGCACATGCGCAGGAGGGCGGGGCACATAGAATTACGGGTGTGGGTGTGTGCACAACCCCTCCCACGCTTTTGGCACGCGATGGCAAAAAGATTAGGCATCACTGCCCTACACCATTTCTGACAGATGGCAGTCCGGTCTCTTCTTGAAAGCCTCCAGTGATGAAGCTCCCACGTTTGCGACCAGTTGCAGTTCTTCCTTTGTCTATTCAGTATTGTTTATACTGCTCTTCAACATGGGTTTAGCACTCTTTTGGAATAGCACTAAACACCGGAGGCTTTTGGGAAAAGATTGGACAACCATTTGTCTGAAATGTTATAGGGCAATGATGGCTAGCCCTTTTCTCGTCGTGTGCCGAAAGCACGTACATACCGGCACCCATAATTCATGCGTGCACAACCCCCCTGTTTCCCCGCCATGTGTGTGTACACGACCCCCTTGCTCCCTCTGCCCCCCGCGCATGCACATGCGACCCCCCGCCCCCATTTTTGGCCTAGCAGGCTTCTCTGCAGCCTCCTGGGCCCAAAAATGGGCCGAGGGGGAGGGGCACACCGCACCACCCTGCGCGCCTCCGCAAATATGTGCACTCCCCCGTGTGCGCAACCCCCTGCGTATGTGCATGCACCTCCCGTATACGCCCCCCCCACGTATCCCGAAAATCAGCTGGCTGGCGGCGGGAGGTACATTCACGCATGCACGGTGGAACTGAGCTGGGCAACGGCTTGCGTGCCTGCAGAGGGCTCTGCGTGCCAGTTATGGCACACATGCCACAGGTTCACCATCATAGTTATAGGCTTTCGTGTTTGAGCAGGGGGTTGGACTAGAAGACCTCCAAGGTCCCTTCCAACTCTTGTCATTCTGCGACCAAAAAGAGCTCAGCCACTGCCTGATGGATTTAAAAGCACCTCCAGGGTGCAGAACTAGAATGAGATTTGATAGATGGCAGACCCCAAAACGCCATAAATTTAGAGAAGCTGGGAGAACAGCTCACCATGCTTTATTCCGTTCACATATTCTGTGCTTGTTGCTCATTCTGCCTTCTTTATGGGTCTCTGGGGTTAGAGTCTCTTTGAGGTGGTGACCTCTGAAGCCTCGTACCTACGCTCGCTGACCCTTCTGATCGAGCACTTCATGGAGTCTCGGGAACTGGCTGGCACCATCCTTCTGCGCGAGCACCGGATTCTCTTCTCCAACATCCGCAAAGTTGAGGAAGTGAGCGAAAGGTCAGGTTTTTTTTTCCTCTCTTCCCATCTTTCCTCCAATCTGCGTTGCTCTGGACCAGGGGTCGGCAACCTTAAACACTCAAGGAGCCACGAAGATCCGAACCGGCAGCCCCCATTCAATTCTGGAGCCGACCGGAAGTCCGGTTCCTCCACCATAGAGTTTCCTCCTGGCATGGCATCCTTTTTCCTCTACCTATCCTAACCGAAAGCCCTATCAATTGTGGAGCCGACCAGCAACAGGGAGCCGCAGCAGGGGGATGAAAGAGCCACATGCGGCTCCCGAGCCGTGGGTTGCTGACTCCTGCTCTGGACCATTCTCAAGAATGAAGGCAGCCACTCCTAGAATTCTTAATTTGCTACTGGTCACCATGGAGGGCTGATGGTCATTATGAAGGGTGGACATGATAGCAGTGTTTATTTATTTATTAAATTTATATTGCCGCCTACTCGCCCATGGCGACTCGAGGCGGCTTACAAAGTACAAAACCACATTTGAAAACAGTAAAAATAATAAAACTAATTTTTTTAAAAAATCAAATAAATTAAGGTAATAAAATCACCCCACCCCACCTCACCCCAGCGACAGCAGATCACACGAGCCATTTAATGGGCTCCATCCCCCTCTGGATTCCCCCAGGCCCTCTGGCAGAACCAGGTCTTCAGCGCCTTCCGGAAGAGAATTAAGAGTGGGGGCCATTCTAATCTTTGGGAGAATTGATGTTCCAGAGAGAGGGAGCCACCACGGAGAAGGCCCTTCTTCTGGGTCCCGCCAGGTGTATCTCCCTCAGGGATGGGACCCACAGCATTGCCTGCCTCCCCGCTCTGATGGGTCGGGTAGATGTGACCGGCAAGAGATGGTCCCTCAAATAACCTGGTCCCAAGCCATGAAGGGCTTTAAAGGTGACAACCAATATTTGAGGGGCTGCTACAAAGAACGGAGGGTGTCTTATTTTCCAAAGCATCAGAGGGCAGGACAAGAAACAATGGATGGAAACCGACGAAAGAGAGTCCCAAATGTGCTTTTTTAGGAGGCAACTGGACTTTCTTGGTTTTTCTTTTGAAGACGTTTCGCTCCTCATCCAAGAAGAGAATCTCTACAGACTTTTAGCTATACAGTTTGGGATGAATACCCTTGGAATGATGTGGGAGTAGGAATGGATTTCCAGAGGGGAAAAAAATTGCAGACGACAGGAACCCGGAGCACTAACTCAGGTGACCGTGAGGACAAAGATAAACCTCCAAGGGCTTCAACGACCCTCTAAAAGGATGCAAATGACAGGTCGTCTGGAAGGAATATACTGTAAATCCTTCCGTTCCGCACTATCCTATCAGAGCTGAAGAAGCTTCTTGGATGAGAAGCGAAACGTCTTCAAAAGAAAAAAAACAAGAAAGTCCAGTTGCCTCCTGAAAAAAAGCACCTTTGAGGCAACCATGACCTGGATGACTGAGAATCTCTCCAGACTTTTGATCAAAGAGAGAAACAACCTGGAATTAAGGAGAAACTTCCTAACAGTGAGGACAATTAACCAGTGGAACAGCTTGCCTTCAGAAGTTGTGGATGCTCCCAATACTGGAGGGTTTTAAGAAGAGACTAGACAACTATTTGTCTGAAATGGTATAGGGCAGTGATGGCTAACCTTTTTGCCATCGCGTGCCAGGAAGGGGTGGGGTGGGGGAGGTTTGCCCGTGCATGTGCCCACACCCATAATTCTATGTGCCTGGCCACGCACATGCGAGCGCGACCCCCCTTTCCCCCCCACTCCTGGCACACGATGGCCCGGTAGGCCCATTTTTCTTTCTCACCTGACTCTAGATCCTTTCTATGCATCTGGGGAAGGCTGTTTTCACCCTCCCCAGATGCATAGTGACGATCTGGAGCCAGGGAGAAAGAAAAACGGGCCTTCCCCTGCCCCCCCAGGCCCTCTTCTGGTGGGCCCAAAAGGGCCGAAAATCAGCTGACAGCTGAGCTGGCGTGCCAGGCAATATGACTCCGCATGCCACCTGTGGCACGCGTGCCATAGTTTCGCCATCACGGGTATAGGGGCTCCTGCTCGAGCAATGGTTGGACTAGAACAAGGGTCGGCAACCTATGGCTCTGGAGCCGTATGTGGCTCTTCCATCACTCTGCTGCGGCTCCCTGTTGCCAGTCAACTCCACAATTGATAGGGCTTTCAGTTAGGATAGGTAGAGGAAAAAGGACGCCGTGCTAGGAGGAGAAACTATGGTGGGGGGAAACCGGACTTCCGGTTTGACTACAGAATTGAACGGGGGGCTTCCGGTTAGGGCCTTTGTGGTTCTTTGAGTGTTTCAGGTTGCCGACTCATGGACTAGAAGACCTCCAAGGTCCCTTCCAACTCAGTTATTCTGATTCTGATTAATCTCCACGGAATCATACCCATAGGGCTCTCCCTCTTCTGATTATGGTGACCATCTGTGATGAACAGCAGGCTAGTCAGTTGTCCATCTGTACGATCATCTGTTTAATGGTTACTTCCCCCGCTTCGAAAGGTGGAAATAGATCCCCGTCTGGAGACACAAGCTCGCTGTTTTTGCTTGGGCTTCTCTGAATAATCCACATACATCTGATGCCAGTTCTTCCTCTTGGCAGGTTCTTACAGGATCTGGAACGGCGGCTGGCTGAAAGCCTGCAGATCTCAGACGTTTGTGATATTGTGGAGGACCACGCTCAGCAGAGCTTCTCGGTCTACATTGATTACGTCCGTAACCAGCTCTACCAGGAGAAGACCTACAGTAGCCTCATGTGAGTAAGCGGGGAGGAAAGGAAAACAGTCTGCTGGATCATCCTTTGGGGAGTTGAGGAATTATTTGGAGAAACTCGCTTGGCTGTTTTCCCAGCCTGTTTTGACCTCACCGAGAATTCTGGGAATTGTAGTTTTCCCTCATCTGCAGGTATCACCAAGGCAGAATCCAAAAGATATTAATCCACCTTTTCAACAGCAGCCATCCAACTACTCCTGCAGAGCTTGTTGGTGGTTGATCACGGCCATCCCTTGTAGTCTCCAGGGCAGGAGTCTGCAACCTTAAACACCCAAAGAGCCATTTGGACCCGGTTCCCACAGAAAAGAAAACACCGGGAGCCACAAAACCCTTCCTGTGCCTGACTATTTCTTGAGTGGCCACAAAACTACCATATGTAGTTTATTTATTTATTTATTTTATTCATTTACTTTCAAATATTTATATCCCGCCCTTCTCCCAAAGGACTCAGGGTGGCGAACACAAGTTAAAAACATATGAAGGAAAATCCTAATTAAAACCAGTTAAAACAAGAACAAGTAGATAATAAAACTCAAGAATCAGAATCAGCCCATTTGTTGAAACAGCCACGTCTTTAGGCCTCGACGGAAGGAGCGGAGATCAGACACCGTCCGGCGCTTGGTGGGTAACTCATTCCAGAGGGCAGGAGTGCCCACAGAGAACGCTCTTCCCCTGGACGTCGCCAGCCGACATTGTCTGGTCGACGGTACCCTGAGGAGGGCAGCCCTGTGTGAGCAGACAAGATGGTGGGAGGCAGGTAGGAGATGGTCCTGCAAGTACCCCGGACCTAAGCCATGAAGGGCTTTATAGGCAAGTACCAGCACCTTGAAGCGGATCCGGAGGACCACTGTTAACCAGTGCAGCTCACGTAGGAGAGGTGTTACCCGGAAGTAATAGGGAGCTCCCGTAACAACCCGCGTGGCTGCATTCTGGACCAGCTGGAGCCTCCGGGTGCACCTCAAGGGCAGCCCCATGTAGAGGGAGTTGCAGTAATCCAAGCGAGAAGTAACCAGGACATGAGTGACCATGCAAAGGGCATCTCGGTCTAGGAAAGGGCGCAACTGACGCACCAGGCGAACCTGCGCGAAAGCCCCCCTAGTCACGGCCGTCAGATGGTCTTCCAAAGACAGCCAGGAATCCAGGAGGACACCCAAGTTGCGGGCCCTTTCAACGGGAACAAGTACCTCTCCCCCCATCAAAAGTGATGGGACCTCTAGAACACGAGGTGCTGGCATCCACAGCCACTCAGTCTTGGAGAGTTGAATTAAATGTTCTGTTTTCTTCTGAAACATTCCTTTTCTTGAATTTATCCATGGTTGGCCTACCAGGGGTTGAAAAGCTCAATAAATCGCATGCCAGTGGGTGTCGCACATTGGTGGTTGTGATGCATATTTTGAATGACGGAGCCGCAGCAGAGAGATGAAAGAGCCACATGCGGCTCCAGAGGGCCTTGTATGTAACTTTTGAAGTGGGAATCCCGTTCTTCCTGTCATAGATAATGGATGTAGATGTACCCGTGCACCATAAACGTCTTTAAGAGTTTCTGCTTAGTCTAACATCTACAGATGTTCCGAGAAAGCCCTCAAATTAAATCTCGGGATCTTCAACTTTGGCAGCTTTAAGACTTCAACTCTCATAATTACTGGCTGGGGAATTCTGGGAGTCAAAGTTTACAAGTCTTAAAGTCGCCTTAAAGATTAGGCAACCCTGAATGAAGCAGTTGTCTGGAATTCATTCATCCATTTCATTCATACCGTGGTGTTTCCCCGAAAATAAAACCTACCCCAAAAATAAGACCTAGCATGATATTTTTGTGCGCTCCTAATATAAGCCCTACCCCAGGAAAAAGCCGTAAATAAGGTCGTCATCAGCGGGGGGCATGGCCAGCACCAGAGACTGCGGAGGGGGCTGATGGCGTCTGGCGGCAGCCGCAGTCTGTGCAGCACAGGTGAGTTGATTACCTGCCCATGGCAGCAGGTGGAGGCGGAGGCGATCCGGATGCGCTGTCTGGGCAGAGGGCAAGCTGAGCGTCAGTGGGCCGGGGAGGCTGTAGGCAAGCGGAGAGATGTGAAGACAAGCTTCCCACGGCCGGCCGGCTGCTTCAGCATACCGACTCTCAGCTTACCTGCATCCCCCACTTCTGCCTCTGCCTGCTGCTTGGACAGGTAATCAACTCACCTGCGCTGCGTGGGGTGTGCAGCCCCAGAGTGCATTGAGCAAAGGGCAGTGGGCGTCGCGTGCTCCCTGCCTTTTGTGCATGTGCCGGGGGCCTAGACAGCCTGATCACCCTGATATTGTGTTTCCCCAAAAATAAGCCCCAGTGCTTATTTTGGAGCCCCCCAAAAATATAAGACTGGGTCTTATTTTCAGGGAAACACGGTAGTTACAATATTACCAAACGCTCCTCTTCCTCTCTTCCATCTACTCCCTCTATCCATTGATAGCTTGCTTCACTTCCAAGGGACTCAAGGTGGGATAAAAGCAGCGGTGAAATCCAGCATGTTCTGACAGGTTCTGGAGAACTGGTAGCGGAAATTTTGAGTAGTTCGGAGAACCAGCAAATACCACCACTGGGTGGCCCCAGAGTGGGGTGGGAATGGAAATTTTGCAATATCCTTCTCCCAGGTGTGGGGAGGAAATGGGGATTTTGCAGTATCCTTCCCCCGGAGTGGGGTGGGAATGGAGATTTTGCAATATCCTTCTCCCAGGAGTGGGGAGGGAATGGGGATTTTGCAGTAGCCCTCCCCT